CCCTGTCTTTTCCTCTATCCTCCTCAAACTGTTTGCACTCAGTTCACGTAGTATCCGGAGGTGGTAGCTCCTTCACTGATTCTCAGCCACACAATGTATGCTTGAGCATCCGGGATAGTAGCTGCATGTTGCGCCGGTGCATTGTCATCAGTAAGCCATGCTTGCCCCAGGCCAAACTCTTTTTGGCCCCGCAGCACCGACCGGTAATGTCCCCTATCCGGACTGGCACCGAAGTGTGCCTGGTACGAAGCAACCTGGTAAGGCACTTGCTGGCTGTGCACTCCTGTGGGATGGAACATGGGAAGATGCACTAGGCCGTGGTGGCCTCGTAGTGGTCGCTGATCGCGTGTGATTTCAGCTGATTGATTTGTAAACCTCAGCAGTTGTAGGATGACCATCTGCGGCGCTGGAGGCACAAGTGCTCGGGGGGCAGCCTGATTGTGCCACCTGTCGATGCTCCATTGCAGATGGCAGATGTCCCCCTCACTGGTGTGGATGGGTATAGGGCAATGAAGGTCGCCCTCATCCGTCACACGTAAGCTACCCTCACACATCTCTCGGGCCTGCCACAAGCCTGGCTGTTGCCCACGCATTAGCCTGGGCAGGATGTAGTGAATGAATTCCGCTGCGTCGTGCTGGCGGTGTAGGTGCCTCCATTGCTGAAGCAGTAGAGACCATTGCATTCCCCCAGTGACCTTAGTGGTGGAGGCCGTCGGGGTGGGCACGCACAGAGCCTGTAAGCACGGGGCAATGAAAATGTCGTGCTCCCCATGTAGTCGTGCCTGCATCAAGGTCCATAATAAGCTTTGCAGTGTGGAGTTAAGGTAGCACAGCGAGGTGGTGTTATGCATAGCAAGCTTGAGGATCGCTTTGAGAGCAATGAGCGAAGCCTGTTTTGTTACCACCGGTTCAGCTGGTAAAGCTCGTCGATCGCGTTGTCGTAGCCCGGGCGATCTCGACGGAGTCGGCAACCGATTGTGTGCCACGCCGCCATGCCCACCCACTCCTGAAGGATGGCCCATATCGGGTGGCCGCCCGGCCTGAGGGAGACCTCTACCTGGAACTGTACCCACTGCGTTGTCGGATTGGGCACCAGCTTGCGGACGCTCTTGAAGTGGTGCAATGTCTCCTCCGTCACGTTCTTCCGGATCTCCACAAGCTGCCTGAGTAGGTCCTCGGTAGACTTGGTAGCCGCCTGTGGTACGAGCTTGAGCTGCTGGGTCTCGGCACACCAGCGTAGGACTTGCCACTGCTGGTGGCTGTCGATCCAGTTCAGGTCCCTGGCCGCCTTCATGGCTTCCTGATTTGCAGCCGTCTCTTGGAGTCGTTCGTGGAGGCTCATGAGCAGCTGTTTGAACAACATGATCTTTAGGGAGTACTGGATCTTGGCCGGCTCTTGCTCCTTCATCTCTCTCCACACCTCCGCTGCTTTGAAGAGTGTGGGGATTATATTCCCGCTTTCCTCCCCCGTCTTCACGAAGAGGTGCATGACCAGGTCCTGGCGAACCGAAGCCAGGGTGCGCTCCTGCCTGAGAACCACCTGGGTGAGCTTCCTGAGGTGGTAATGCATGTGCTCCTCCGGCCGGTTGTCGTGCGAGCCTATCCACGGGGTGCCGTGCTGGCCGTAACCATCGGCGTAGTCCTCCCATTGGCTGGACCATGTCGGTTTGGGCAATTGCTTGCCCTTTCCCTTGCCTTTGCCCCCCGCCTTCCCCTTGCTTTTGCCCTTCCCCTTGCCTTTTGGCTCTCTGCCTGCTTCCGTTCTCTGGCTTTTCTGACTCTCCTCCACCTTCAGCTCCGATCCTCTCTTGTTGGAGAATCTCTGGAAGAACTGGGTCTCTTGGAGATCCAGGTCCATGTCCACTTGAGGTGGCGGAGTCATGGCGAATCTGCAGGTAGGCGCAGATACTAAGAACAGGGCACTGAAACCAATGTCGGTCCTTGTTAATGGCTTGCTGGTGGCAGTATCTGCAGGGCACGACAGTGTGTCTTCGAAAACCCTTCATAAGCTGTTTGGCGCGGTCCAGGCACTTGAGCCAGCACGAGTGCTGGGTAGCGAGGTGGCGCTTAACGCTTGTGGTATCAGCGTGCCACTGGCTGCAGAGCGGGCACCTATGCTTAAGATACTCCTGGACCGAGGGCTGGTTCAGTAGTGTAGTCCATGCGCCTTTGGCCAGAGCATGGGCAACTAGCTGCCACTGGATGAGTGGCGGGGAAGATGAGGCCGGGACCATCTGGGGGACACCAGTGTCAGTCACTGGGGCTTGGTGAGGTTCGGGTACGCGTTGGGTCCTCCAGGCGTGGCATCTGTGCCATCGGATATGCTGAGAAAGATTGTGCCACCGTCTGAAGTCGTGGCGGCAGAAGGCGCAGATTGGCAAGCCCTGAGTCCCGTGTGCAAGTTTATCAAAGACGATGGTACCTCCTTTGGGGGTGCGCTTCTTATGGTGAGCGGCCTCATGCACCCGAAGAAGGCGGAAGGATCGAAAGTGCTCCCCACAGTCCTGACAGGTGTATGCATCCAGACCGGTGGCATCCGCATGCTCCGCCTCTTCCCCAGTTACCATGCATTTGGCCTGCAGAGAGGCGGCCGTCTCTCGGACCATGTCCCTGACCTCAGTCGCCAGTGGGTGGAGCTGGTTCTGCAAGCTGAGAAGGGTGTTGCACAGTGTCGCGGCTTCGGTGGCCAGCCTGAGCTGAAGGGGCTGGACCCCAATCCTGGCAAGCAGCTTGGCGGTAGGTTCCTTGCTCAAGTGGGCAAACGATCTGGTGATGGCCCGAAGGTGTCTTGTGGCTACGTGCTGCATGCGTTGGATGTCCTTATGTCCTGGTGATGAGGCTGCCACGCCGTAGAGCATGGTCGGCAGGACGGTGGACTGCCAAAGTTTAACCCGCTCCTGTGTGGGGAGGGAGGATTGCGAGCACAATACCTTCCGAAGGCGCTGCCACGTGCCATTGGCCTCCTGTAGACGGTGGGTGACCGTTTGTTTGGACGGCGAGTGATAGCCGATGACAACTCCCAGGTAGACATGTTTGTCTTTCAGCGGGAATTCAAACAGTCGAGCCTTGGGAGTGCGGATCCGGATGGCGTCCCCCTCCGAAGTACGGATTAGATGCTGTTTCAGCCATTTGCGCGCGAAGTGGCCTCTGTATCGCATCAGGAACGCTGACTTCTGGGTATTGATCTTCATTCCATGGTCAATGAGCGCATCCAAGACCGAGGCGAAGCGATGATGTGCACGCTCAAGTTCTCGGTATGACACTGCGGTATCCTGAAGCAAATAATCATCCGCGAAAGTGGTCGCACCTTGTGCAAGCCACTGCGGGTCGAGGATTGCCTCCAGACGCCTGTGTAGGAATGCGGTGAGAAGGACCCATAGTAATGGCGCTATTTTGCATCCTTGGCGTAGTCCGCGTGTGGCCGCGACGGAGGTGCGGAGCCTCAGATGTTGGATGTGATATCTGAGGGAACTATAGCAGTCGGAGACCCACGCTTTTATATCTTGAGGCACTTCCGCGTCCTCGAGCGAGTCCTGCAGCAGGCTCCAATCAACCAAATCGAACGCGCTTGATAGGTCCAACGAAAGTTGACATCCGGCATAGGCCTTCTGGGTCCTAGGCTTGTTTTCGTATGCATCCATGGTTGACCTTGAGGACCGTTCGCATGCTTTCTGAACTTGGAGATTGTGTTGTTGAGCTCGTGAGATCGCGACCCCTGTATGCTTCTCCTGAAGGTAAGCATATTGAGGCACCTTCTGCAGGTACGCCTCAACGTAGGGGCGGAGTCTCTGCTGCAAAACATGCGAAAGTGCCCGCCCACTGGCCTCAGTCAGCCCGATCGGGCGCAGATCGCGGGGGGATTTGATCCGGACCTTTTTCGGTATCAAGACTAACCAGGCATCCTTCCATAAGGCCGGCACGGCCTGGAGGCGGCTCGTCCACGTGGTCAGGGCCGGGGCCAGGATGTCCGCGCAGCTGCGCCACATCGCAGTTGAGGCTAAATGAGGGGGGGTAGCTTTGTGCGCGACAAGGCTGGAGAGGGCCTGGTAGACTTCAGCTTCATCTACCTGAATTCGAACTTCGGACTCAGGGCAAGGCGGCGGGCGCTGAGGATCCCGCGTGTACAATTGCTTGTAGTGCTGTTGCAGCTGACGAAGCTGAACTTCGGCAGACTGAAGGAGGCCTTTCTCGTCTTTAAGTTGAATTTCTCCCCTCCGCTTCTTAGGGGCGATGTTTCTGACCCCCGCATAGAGGGCGCGGAGGTCCTTGCTGGCGGCGGCCTGTGTCAGGTCTTGAAGCCGATCTGTGAACCATTGTTTGCGAGCCTGTTTGCCTGCCCACTTGAAGTCCTTTTGTGCCTTCCGAAACTTGGAGTAGCTTCGCCATGCAGACAGGACGGCTCTCGTGCCTCGTTGGGCTTGGTTCTTCCACTGGGCGTACGCTGTCCACATGCCTCGGATGCCGATGGCCATGGCCGGCGTCTGCCAGGCGGCAAGTCTTTGAGGCTTATCTGCCGGGGGAAAGATCCGTGCCGCGCACTGGCAGAGAAGTTGGTTCAACTCCTCTATGCTCTTGGCCTCGGGCAGACCCGACATGACAGCTTCTCGATACTGCTGTATTTGGGGCAGATGCGGGTGCTTGCTGCATCTGATGAGCTCCCAATGATTCCATGTTCTTCGGACAGGCTTAGGGCGGTTCAGGCTTTGGAAGCGCTGCAGCGGTATGCTGCCTAGGAGCGGGAGATGGTAGCTTCCCTGTCTCCAGGCCGCAAGGGTGGTGCGGATAGGTCTGGCCCGCTTCGCGAGTTGGTCGCACTGTACCTGGCGCATCAGGACATGGTCCAGAAGGGCCTGCCCCTGGTGATGATGGAAAGCGGCGCCTGCACGGCGGTGCCAGGAGTTAATTTGGATCAGTTTATGGTCTTCGAGAACGCGCGTCAGCGTGGCCTGGTCAGGTGGTGGCTTGTGACTCCCTTTCGCAACAAGGGGGCCTGCGCAGGCACACTCCCGGAGCGTGCAGTTGAAGTCGCCGGTCACCAGGGTGGTATGTCTGCCCGGGGCTCGGGCCATTTCGGTGTCGAGGGCCTTCCAGACCTTTTGCCGGAGGGCTCGGACTTCCTCTGCTTTGGCGCTTCCTTGTCCTGCTTGGCGCTGGTAGAGGTTATAAACATCTAATGTCCAGTCCTTCTTCTGCAGCTGAACATGTAGAAGGCGTCCTGGAACGGGGTCCGAGTGGAGAACTTGCCCGTCTCCGCACCACTCACTATCCAGCAGGGTAAGGACTCCTGCGGATTGATTGTCCGTGGCTGGGGATGTGATCACCTTCCACCTGCCGGACTGGAACGTAGGTTGACAGCTATCACCCCAATGGCTTTCCTGAATCGTGACTATCTGGGGCCTACGGGCCGCATCGAGGTTCTCCAAGTAGAGAAGGAGCTCGTCCCATAGGGGGCTGGACAGGCCACCACAATTCCAGCTCATGACCAGTACTCGGCCTGGGGCGCGGGCAGGGGCGGTGTCACGGCGTGACGTGCCCTGCTGTGGGGCCTGAGGGTCCGCTCTACGGCCGACATATTGTTTATCGAGCTGTTGAAGGGTGAGAGCCCGGCCACGATAGTGAGTTCGTTGTTCAGGATGTCTTTGGGCTCGGCGAACAGCGCGCTTATAGGCACGCTTGCGAGTAGCTGAGGGCATAACGTCTGCAACAGTCGGCGGTACGCTGGGCCTCGCTGTAGTCCAACCTGTCGCCGGGGCATGTGGTGCCGCGGCGGTCCCCGGTGCAATGCTAGCAAGCAGGCCAAGGGTAAGACTGAGCCAATGTGGAGGTCGGCGCACACTCCTGTGCGCAGCATGCCGGATCCCGCGGTTGGGGGGGGCCTGTTGGTTGCCGGGCACCTGGCTCTGGTAGGCCAGGGGGCGGCTCTGCGGGCACGGAACGGGTAAGGTGTGAGAGGGAAGTGCTGCGGGAGGCATGAATGGCTTTGCGAAGACAACCTGGAAAAGCAGTCCTCGCTTGCGTCTTGCCCACACCTGATATTGCTTCCATTTCCGAGTGGGCAGGCCCACTTGCTCTCTTCGGTGAAGCCGAACTGAGTGCTGTACATGTTTCATAGTGGCTGACAGGCCCAAGTAGGCTGCTGTCACGCTGCAGAGAGGGATAAAAAGCTCTGGTCGAGGCTTCCCAGAGGTGACTCCCAGGCGAATCATCGCTGGTCTCGGTGGTGCGTGACCTACACCACCAACCCTCACCCCTGTCAACCAGGCACTGTGGCTAGTTCGGGATGGCAGTCTGAGCTCCCCGTTCCAACTAGGCGGCACATACTGTGGTTGACCTCCGGCATTGGGACCGGAGTAACTCCTTGCTTGAATCTGTGTATGATGTATTGGGTTTGAGCTTGGCAGGCTGTTGTGGTCCCCACCGGCAACTTGAGTACACAACGGGGAGGTCCTGCGATGGTGCCGATTGGACTTAGTCCATTGCCTGAAACCGGAAACAGGGTGGGGTCTCTGGCTCTGAGTCTGCATCAGGACCCATAGTGTAGTTTGGCACCCTGGGGGGGGGGGCTCCGTGGCATCTTGTTCGTCTGCGTTTTGGGCCCCAGGTTAGCATCATGGGATTTTGCCACCTGGGTCCTGATCCTTGCCCTGTGCTCAGAGCTGGGCGGCGTCCGGCGGCGGTACTCAGCACGGCATTGCGGACAACTCGGACATGCCAGCCTCTCACCGCGCACCTGCAGGTCGCCGAGTCGGTCGTTGGTGTGCCTTCACTTGTCTGTCCCAGCGGAGCTGCGTGGGGGCCTTGCCAGCCTCGGCGCCCGGTATCGAGGTCACCTTGGTGGATCAGAAGTGTGCCGGCAGTCTTGTGGAAATTGCAAGCAACAGGAAGTCTGAGTCCGTTCACCTTAGGGTTGGTGAGGTCCTCATGTTCCTGAGGTCCTGCATGCAAGCCGCTCGCACTGGGGCTGAGCAGGTCTAGCTTGCATTGGGCAGCGGCCGCCTGTGCAGGGATGTATCCAGCTTTCCTCCGATGGGGGTCTCGGTGTCCTAATTCGGTGTCAGCCGTACGGGCCAGTTTCGCGATCTGCATGGTACATTCTCTCTGGGTGGGCTGCTGTTCACACACCATGCAAACTTGCTCGCTCTGGTAGCAGTCCGGCCAGCCCTGACAGGTTTTTGCAATCCGGGACGTTGCCGGTAGAGTGTGGACTACCGTGCCTGCTGCCAGTGTAGTAGGCAGACCTGCTACCGCTCGGCTAGTCGGCTCGGGAGGCGCCCTCCAGTACACCAAGGCAGCCACCGGGATGGAGCTCGCTGTGAGCGGTGGCATTCGGCGACCTGGCCGGGTAGAGGTGCGCTGGAGAACCAGGACTGACGATAGGGTACGGTCCAGGAGAGTGTCCTGCAAGGATAGCGGCGTGCTGTGCAGCGTTAGCACTTGGTAGGTGCCACGGCCTGCACATATCCCCTCTGGTGACTGCCACTTCCGGTCATGGGCGTGCGCTTTCCTGGCTGAGGCTCCGGCAGTGGCCGTTCGTCGCGCGGCCGACCTACGGGGGAGAAAGCGCCCGTGACAGAGGCAGACTGAATTCACATGGGCTTCGGTACCCGGGTGGTGCCTTCCGGGCTAAGGACGGGAACTGGAGGGTCCGACCTGGGCCAGGAAACATGGAGCTTAGCCGCTGTGGCGGTAGTGTGCATGCAGTAGGCAGGGCTCGTGTACTCGCAATCGGCTGATCGAGGCTTCGTCTTGCGGTCTGGTACCGGAGAGCCTTTCTCATTTTCGGGAGTAAGGAACCAAAACAGTCTCTGTACAGGGCGTGGTGGGCCCGAGTGACGAGGCTTCACAGTGTCGGCACGTTGCTGGCTGCTCTGCCGTTTGGCTTTGTCCCGGGCCTTCGTAGCTCCTGTAGTCCTGGGGGCTCGGCTGGCCGCCGTACCTTTTTCCCGTGACGTCTGTCTGCTCCACTTGCTCGGTCTCCCCCATTCCCCCGGGATTCCCAGTCGCCAGGCTATTCGAGCTTCGCGGCATGTCATCCGCGGCGTCCTCGGCCAGCTGCCCCTCACGGTGGGTAACCTTCGTCTCGGTCGCTGCCTCCTGGGCTGGCGTCACCGGCGGACATTCGTCCACAGTGTCCGTGGTGATCGTGGTGCAGGTAGTCGGGGGTTGCGGGCGCTTTTTCGGCTTCGGCTTGGCGTACTCCTTGGCCGCGCCCTCTTTGGCCCTGCTGGGGGCATCCTGGCACTTCTCGCCATGGCTTCGGGGTGTCTGCCTCGGCGATCTTGACCGGACTCGGTTGGTGATCGGTTCCTCCTTGGGCTTGCTGATCCGCTGGGTGTCGCCTGGTAAGTCTGGACGTCAGGGTCACCGGCTGCCGCGGCTGTGTGGTCGCCGGCTCCTCCTCTACCTCCACCTCGACTTCCTCCCATTCCTCTTCCGGCGGCGTCCTGGTAGCGGAGCTCATGCCAGACCCTTTGCGCTTGGGCGTAGGGTGGAGCCGCGGGATCTCCTCTTTGGTCGTCTTCCGTTCCTCGGCCATGGTCCCAGCAGACTTCCTGGCGGGGTCAAAGCTTTCACTCGGCTTGGTGGGCTTGGGCGGCACAAGTGTCGACAGCGACTGCCACCCTAGTAGCCACCGCGCACTGTAGAGCGTGAGCGGGGGTGGCGAAATGCGCCACCGCAAAGACGCGTCCAGTCCATCGTCCTGTGCCGTTTCCATGGGAGCTCTGTAGGCGACATGCGAGCGGTCTATGGTCCAAACCTTCTTGCGAACCTCGGCAGATCCCTCCAGCACCCTTATATTGAGAGTGTCAGCATGCTGGTCCCTGCTCTTCAAGATGATGGCGTGGTAGCCGAGGATTTTGCTGTGCGCTCCTCCGACGACAGTCACATCCGTGCCAGGCGTCAACTCGTCGACCCGGCAAAACTCCGATTCGTCCAGAGGTCCCGGCAGTACACGTGGGCCTTTTCTCCCCATGTCGAGTGGAGCCGGAAGCTCCGGGAGAGGCAATCCCTGGTATGGGCAGAAGAAAGGCTGCAGGGTGGGCAACCATGCGTGGACGCTTACACTGACACTGGCAGGAAGGCTGCTAAGGTCATGGGCGCCCGCGATGCCATACACTGAGCCTGCGACCGAGGAGTGGGTGACCGCTGGTCGTCCAAAACTGCGTAGCCCTCTGCGAGCTGGTCTCCTGTCCAGGGGAGCAGTGTGCGCAGGGCTACTTCGGCTACCGACTGGGCCACCTCGCATTTCCAGAATGGGCAGCACCATCCGTCTGACACCGACCTGAGCAGAAGAGTGGCGCCCTTGACTAACGGCATGGTAGGCCGTGTTAAGTGGCGGCTTCCGAACGATGAGGGCCAGGGGAGCGCAGTCTTTTTGTCGGCTGCCTGGAAGAGTCGCATCCGCGGTGTGTGGTACCGCCTCGGCACGGCACCTGGCTCCCGTCGTCACCTCCTGGACCTCAAGGACCACCCGTGCCACCCGGAGCTGGCTCGATGCAAATAGTGATGCGCCAGCCTTGCACCACTCCCGAGGTCTTCGCCACCACAGAGGGTGGCCTCGTTCTCGCTGGTGGCGCCGTCGCGGTAGCTGTCCCATGTCCCGGCAAACTTGCTGGTGGCAGCGGCGGGCACGAGGATGGGGCTTTAGCCATAAGTCCAGGGGTGGCGTGCAGGGCCGGAGTGGGCGGTGTCGATGACTCGCTCGGGTGCTTCGCCGCTGCCGCAAATGCCAGACTGGCCTGGTAGGCCTCCATCGGCGTGGCGTAGACGGGTGCAGGGGTTCCTGGAGCACTATCCATTGCAGGAACGGCGGGCAGCGTCGCATTCGGGTCCTCGGTTGTCCTCGTCGTTGCAGCATCCGCCCCTGCAACCGCCTTTGGAGGCGGTGGGCCTGCAGGCCTCCATGTGCTGGCTCTCGGCGGGGATCTGCTGCGAGTAGAGGCACGAGCTCCCGCTCCCTTCGGCATGTTAACCGCCTGCAGAACCCGAGGCCTTGGCCTCAGCAACCTCGTCCTCCTCACTGTCGGTTGCTTCCCAAAGCAGTCGTCTTGTCTCCGGGCTAGTGGCCGACGAGTCTGTGTCCGCCTCGCCCTTGGCCTTCGCCTTCGGTGTCCTGATAGAGGTCCTGACCTTCGGTACTGCTCCTCGGCGATTGGGAGGCATCGCAGCAGGCTACGGTAACTGCTCCGGCAGGCTCGAGCCTCGTGCCTACTGGTGCAGTTGATGGGCTGCAGTTGAGCGGTATGTGTCAGAGCAGACTCACTCTGAGGGCTCGACCAGTTGTGAGCGGGCAGGCCCGTTGGCGGAAAAGTCGGGTCTTGAGCCGTACCAAGTGTGACCAAGGTGGCGGCCAGCACTAGGGTAAGCAAACGCAGAAGTGGCATGTGCGAACCCGGGTGATGGTAGCACCCCGCTGCTCCATCATGCGGCCTACAGACATGTTCCCTTGGGGGTCCAGAGCCTTCTAGTGCACCGTACGCTTGGCTATACTCA